TCTACCACACAAGAAGGTGATCTCCGTTACCTTCAACCTATAATATTTAATAACCATGCCTATCATGTGCATGAGTTTAGCGCGGCTTGTCCAAGAACGGTAAAGGCATACCTTTTCATCAATTGTCGCACCGCTTATCGGCTCGTTTTTCCGTCGAGTCTACATTCTTAAGCCGCTGATGCATCCTTCCATCTCCGTCTATCCGTTAACCCGCGCCCCGTAGGGGGGGGGGGCCGAAACGGCCCCCCCTGTCCTTTTCGGTCGATATCTCCTAAACGGCTGGAGATATCGCCACCAAACTTTCAGGACCCCTCCGGGCATCAATTTTACACATTGTGACCAAAAATTTTCCAGAGGCTATGATAGGTTCGCCACAAATGACGTCAGAGTGACGTCATGTTCTGCCATTTTCGACCGAAAAAAGAGCTTCGCGAGGAGAGCTGTCAGGCCTACAGCTTTGAAGATACAGAAAAATGATAAAGACATAAAGGTGTAGAATTGACAGGGCTACAAAACTGCTATCTCGAATTTCTGAAATTTTTGAGTTTTGACCCCCAAAAATCAAAAAAGCATTTTTTTTATATATTCGCCAAAAATCCAAAAAGTTTTTTGAGTTTCGAAAAAACCGGAATATATGTGATAGTGCCTACCGTCTTCTATCTACATACCAAATTTCAGATCGATACCTCGTTTTTTGGCCAAGTTATAGCGAAAAAACTGTTCAAAAATGATGACGTCAAATTTTCAAACTCAATTTTTGGCAATTCTAGAACTCGTAGAGCAAAACGAAGACCACCATTAGACTCCCCGTGACGAGCTGCATCGAATCGATACCCATTTTATGCAAAAATATCAACTTTGAAATTTGACCTAATTTGACCTGACCTTGACCTGACCTTCACAAAAACGTGACCTAGGCTGGCCCCAAAGGCTGCCTAACCCACATAATCGCATTTGTCATGTAAAATGGACCATAAAACATGTATCACACGACACATTCATATTGTGACCCCCGGTGACCTGACCTCGCTGTGACCTGACCTGGTATCAGTGACCTCAGATAGCAAAGTATGTGTTTGACGAACAATGTACCATCGATGGTTTTCAATAAATTACCAATTTACTCGCTTTCACAGCACATTTCTTGAATTGCCTGTGAACGGTGAAAATCTGACCTTTGACCTGACCTGTGACGTCATCGGTTTGACCTAGGTCAATGAAATTTGGTCACAAGGTAGTTCCCGGGTGGGGCTATCGAACGCCGTTTGAATTTTGAAAATCGGCCGGTAACTTTCCGAGATCTTAGGGGGGGGCCGAAACGGCCCCCCCCCCTACGGGTGGTAGGGTCCGCCGGTAGCCCTACGGGGCGCGGGTTAAGTGTGTCCATCCGTTTAGCGTATCGAGTGTCGACCCTTCCGTCCGTCCGCCTACCCGTCCGTATAAAATTCCGTTCATGAGCGGGCCCGTTGGCGGTCGGCTGCATGCGGAGCCCGGTGCCGGGTGTAGCGCATGATCCACGCCAGGTCACCTTGAGACAGAGAGAGAGAGAGAGAGAGAGCCGTGCCGCGGGAGACGGGTGCCGAGAGCGGCCCGTACTCGACACCCGCCCCGGCCACTCTCCAAGGTCCTGGCGGCCACTGCCGGCCGTGCCAGACCTGTAATGGCCGCACCATGTGCGAGCTGCGGCCCCGGTCCGCTGCCCGTCTGCGGTGGCACGAGATTAGACGGATTATTGGGTGAATTCGCCGTAGCAATTGTAAACACGATAGGTTGTAATAGTATTTTGTAGGATATTCTCGCCGAAAAGATGAAAATCAAACATGTTGCGGTGCACACGAATTCCGTCGTGAAAAGGAAAAAAATTGGCACTTAGCACTAGATTTGTGACTTATACTTAATATGGAGTTACGTAAGTGTGTGCCAGACAATGCATTGCTATCTCATCCCAGTTTTTCCCTCCACGCCATGTTGCCTGTAACAAATCAAATCAAGTAATTATGTTTGGTAGTCTCGCTCACGGGAACTGCAACATGTAGCTATCTAAAAACAGCCATCGAACGAATGATAACGAAATTAATGGTCCATAGTGTATCTCCTCTCTCTCTCTCTCTCTCTCTCTCTCTCTCTCTCTCTCTCTCTCTCTCTCTCTCTCTCTCTCTCTCTCTCTCTCTCTCCTCTCTCTCGCACTATATCTCTCTCTCTCTCTCTTTCTCTCTCTTTCTCTCTCTTTCTTCTCCACTAAACAACTGTCATCTGACAGACTAACAAATGACAACACAATCCGTCCTGGTCCCTCTGTGAAAGCAATACTAGATAGATATATTTTTACTTGCTAATTTTAGTTTAATTAAAATAACTTCACATGCATCAAGTATCCTCCTCCGCGCACCATTAGATACAGTCAACGTCATTATGTTTTACGTCGGCGAATTCATACATTGCGTTGAATGCGTTTGCATACATTACGACCTTTTGCTGCATATACCAGACCGTTCACTGTGAGATGATGGAAATTGACCGGCAACTTTCTGTCCCACGACTGTTCTGGGAGCAGTCTGGCATTCATGACTAGAAAATATGCTCCATGTAGTCACCTACATACGTAGATGCAGGTCAGGCTGCTGGCTGACGGCGCGAGCCATCCTTGAGGCAACCATATTCCGTTCAAAGGCTGATTCTGGCGTTCATGTGCGTGTATGCGTGCGTCAGCCCTAACAGAAAACGTACATTGCCTTTTCCCCACGACAATAAAAGGTTTAGTAGGTATGGATTTCCTACCGTCATCGTTAGAAGCAAAGACTACCGTTCTACCATTTTGAGATTAGCGTATACCGAGCTCTAACGTCAGGTGGTCAGTCGGCTTACATTTTGTCCAGGAATGTGCTCCATCACATTGATTTTTATCTAAACTGGTAATTATTCTGGCAGTATAGAAGTGCGACTTGTATAGCAGAAGCTACCAGTTGACCGCTTAACTTACGAACCACCGGCGTGGTGAAACCGGTGAGGTGAATCTTAGGAGACATCTTCTTGTGCAAAGCAGCACAAGACATTCAAGAAAGTGTGAAACCGTGTCACGAACCAATACTGAAAATAGATGATTGACTATAAAGTGTTGTAGCCAAGGGACGTTTTTTTTTTCTTTTTACCATACTGCTACATAAAAAACATTACAAAACTTGTATCTTATGTTATTTTTTTTATTGTTATTTAGTTCGCGGCTATAGTTTATGAACAAAAACGTTAGGTACGTTAATCGTTCAATATAAAGCTATCGAATGAAAGAAAAACATCAAAACATATAGAAAAGGAAGGACTACGACGTTCAAGATACCTGCCGATTCCTTCATATTGTTTAAGTCATAAGCTTTCAACAGTTATAATGACCTTAATGACATTCTCGATAATAAGGAGGTATAATAATGGTAATTGCGACGCTCATAAGCGTGGGTGCACTTGCCGTCTAAAGTGGGCAATTAAATACTCATTTCAAGGTAATTCTAGTTTATATTCAAGGTAACCTAGGCAAGCAGACATAAAGATTCTTTCGGTAGACATATCCACTACGGATATACCTCAGTTTTTATGTATGGAGTATCTGCCTCGGTCACCTTGGCTAAGGCCCAGAAGGGTAACTTCTGATCAACCAGGGACAGGAAACTGTAGGTAACTGGTTTCGATAGATGTAATTGTCGGCTTTGTTGAGTTGCTTGCTTGTCATAAGTTGCTACAGGTTCACTCCGAGACTATATACTCTGATTATATATTTATAGTATCGTACAGGTGTATCGTACCTGTGCCCAATTTACCGTTATGACGACATCGCTGACTGAATGGCCGATTATTCAGCATCCAGCGCTGTTTCTCAAGCGCTGAGCGCATGCCCGTTCAATGGTTAATTAAAGGTCGCTATGTTCCGCTCGGGTTTGGCGGCGATCTCGCAAACAACAAGTATACGTCATTAACTTGGCCAAAATCTAGGTATTTATTTCAGTGGTAGAAAGAGTCGGAACCATTTGGTCACCACTGGTTTGCGAATGGTTGACCAAGTGGTGACTGGTAACTCGCCAGCCTTCTATGTATTTTATATCAATGCTGTCCGATATTTGTGCCACAATCACGGAAAAGTAAGAACATATACTACAACTGCACTAACTACAACTGCATAATAAAGTACGGTACAGCAATTCATCGGCATTTGGTGGGTGAAGTGACGCAAACTATGCTGTAATACAAGCGGCGGCCGTCACCAAGGCAGATGTGATGACCAGCGCTGAGCCCGCCGTACTCACACTCCTGCACTACAGGAGGGCGAGGCAGGGGGGAGTGGCTGTGCACGAGCGAAGAGCGGGGTGGGCACATCTCCCCTCCCTCCCTTCCGTGCACGGGGAGGAGAGGGGGGAGGCACGGTGGTTAGCTAACCTCGATAACCAGGATGTGCCCTGGGCCCAGCATGCCCGGTTCATGGACGGCAATTAGCTACGTAATATTCATGCTCGTCTGGTATGAACTGGACAGGGGCGGAACATTTGCATGCTCACGAAACCGGTTTTTGTGAGAGGATTAGTGTAAATCGTTAGGGCGCCGTCAGTTTGAGTGAGGAGGGTGTTACCTTGTCGTAAACGCTCATTCGGAAGCTGCCACTGTTTCGGACGCCTGACTGGGGCTCTACATAGATAGATAGTGAGTGAGTGAGTGAGTGAGTGAGTGAGTGAGTGAGTGAGTGAGTGAGTGAGTGAGTGAGTGAGTGAGTGAGTAAGTGACAGAGAGAGACAGAGAGAGGGGAGTACACGCATCTATTTATTTGTATTTTTATTACTATTTAGTTTCACGTATTTTTTAAATTTTTACAAGTATTTTCAAGTATTTTTCATTTAAAGTATTTTAACGGCTTCCACCACTGTCTGCTGTCTTTCAGTAGGTATGGTGCTGTCTGACCGTATACCCATTGGCATCTGAACTAACCTGACCTGACCTGACCTGACCTGCCCTGTCCTCAGGTCACCGGCCGCCGCCCGTGGTGCACAGTCGGTGTCAGGACATCATGAAGTCACGATACAGGCCGCTCCACGAGTCGGAACTCAACGACGTCTTGCGAAAGTTCAGCCTGATACGGTGAGATGGCTGAAGTAGCAGAACTGTACCTAATCATGATGGAATGGAGGGGTAGGATAGCGGATAAATCGTGTATTTCAATTGTCGACAGTCGACACTGTATGCTGCTGGAAAGGTTTAACTGAGCTGGTGAAACATGAGTTCAACCTTTGGCACATTATGCACGCCAGTGACATTTACTCTATGCACTACCGCATCATTAATTTACCTCACTGCGTACATGAGCGGCGTTTTGGGCGTCACCGTATGTCAGCGGCCTATTTAGGGCTGCATATGTTCATGCATAAATGAGAGCACCTAAATTGAGCATGCATGCTTGGTCTACTGGAATCATTCCATTTTGCAGTTCATTGATCGTTTCTATTTCAGGCACGCACTGCCTAGAACTTGTGAAACTTGTGAACGTGAGGTCCCTCACCCCCCCCCTTCTCTCTCTCTCTCTCTCTCTCTCTCTCTCTCTCTCTCTCTCTCTCTCTCTCTCTCTCTCTCTCTCTCTCTCTCTCTCTCTCTCTCTCTCTCTCTCTCTCTCTCTCTCTCTCTCTCTCTCTCTCTCTCTCTCTCTCTCTCTCTCTCTCTCTCTCTCTCTCTTCTCTCTCTCTCTCTCTCTCTCTCTTCTCTCTCTCTCTCTCTCTCTCTCTCTCTCTCTCTCTCTCTCTCTCTCTCTTTCTCCTTTCGCACTTCTGAGCTTTTGTTTGCTTAACTCTCAAGTCTTTGGCTTTAGGTATGCCTCAGGCCAGGCTTTGTTAGCATTTCTCACAGATAGCCGATCCGTTTATTGATACAATTCTGTTTTAGCAGATCGACTAAGTTAGCTCACTACCGAGGTGTGCCTCTGTGATATAAGCCATATATCTTGAGCCATGGTAGGTAAAGTATATTTCATCCTGTAGACATAGGCGTATGAGGTTTATCGTATCATGAAGTCAGTACGTAATGGTAATCCTGGTAAACCCGCTTTACGTTGGTTGGAAAACGTCTGGTCTACCTATCTAAAACATCTCCTGGATCTTTGTAAATCGTGTGGGGCATTGGATGATATGCTTGGTATGTACTAACTATAGCGGGCGTGCAGTAGGTGTCTTCCATGCTGCCATGCCAATACTTAAAGTGACTGTCCCATGTCCCATCTTCTCAAACATGACATGTCGTGTTTGAGTTACCTACGTATGTTACGTCTAATTTTAGACTAATGTCTTTATATTAATGGTATCATATTTGGTATAAAATAATAGCTAAGTTGAGTGTGAAACGTCAAAGATGGATTTATTTTACTGACTATGAATTTAAGTGAAAGCGGTGAACGACTACATCTTACCAAGAATATCCTGTAATGCAAATCAGTAAAAACAATGAGATTTACAATACTTTCCGTCTGAGTGAGAAAAAGGGCAGTGCCAGTTTTGACCTTTGACCTCACCGCTGCCTCGTGCCGTCTTCTCTCAGAGAAGCCCTCTATAATGCCCCATCCCCTCTCAGAGGGGATGGGGCCCACCCCTGTTACCCCTCCTCACAGGAAGACCGACCGACCCGACCTGTGACCTCTGTGACCCTCCCCGTCTCCTCAGGAAGGCAGACATCCCTGACCTATGACCTCTTTGACCTCAGGGAGGCCGATGTCAGTGAGGAGGTACGTCAGCAGCTACGGACGCCGACGTTCGACAGCTGGCAGTGGTCGCAGGAGGAGATGCTCCTCCTGCTGCAGCAGATGTTTGTCGACCTGGACCTGACCGGCCGCTTCTCCGTCGATCTGGACACCCTACGGCGCTTCCTGCTGCGCGTCTTCGAGAACTACAACGTGGTGCCGTTCCACAACTTCCGACACGGCTTCTGCGTCACGCAGATGGTGAGTGCCGACTGCGAGTGGCAGTGGGAGTGTGCCGAGTGGGAGTGAGAGTGCCAGGAGTGTAACGAAGGATGAGGATGTCACCCGGAGAGTGTGCGGACCTCCGTGAGCGACCCTGCATGCGTGCAGGCTCAGATGTGGTGGGTGGTGGTCTGGGGATGCATGAAGGATGAAGGAGAGCTGTCGAAGTTGGCAAATCGATAATTTTCGAGTCGTAAAAGCTTCGTTTAAAGTTTGATCAGATTAAAGCGCGTTGTCTCTCGGACCTTTCAACAAAGATTACATACCATCATTTACAGCGAGTGACGCGTGCAATCTTGTCTGCCCCGTTGCCAGTTCCTGAACTTGGAATCCCATCCCATCTAGGGATAAACCTACCCTGAGTAAAATTCATCAACTTGGTAAATGCGGGGATATGCCTCGAAACCTAAATATACCTATCTAATATACCTCGGCATAAAATGTGAATGTTAGTGCATTGGCATTGTTAGCACTAAAGGCAATTAAAGTTTTTCATTCTCTAGTCGCTTTTTAAGGATTAATTGAAACTTGCAGCTCGTTTTTCTCTTCCGGTTGAGTGCACGTTTGAAGTTTCAAAAGGGTTTGTAAACAAGGCAAGTAAACCCACCGTTTTTCAGAGGGCTTGGGCATGTTCTGACGTTAACATGTGCAGCAGGATGTTATTGATCCCAGATTATTTTTGAATCCTACCTCTTGGTAAAGCCCAGCATTTCTGTTAAAATTGTGTTGTGGCCTTCGAGCCAATATGATTCTTAGGTGAATTTTACTGATGCACGGCTAGCTAGTTCTACCGAAATCTCCACTTCGAAAATTACTCAGATGTCCATCGATAACTTGCTACGATCTTGATGTTGCTGCACTTCTCACAATGACATAGGACGGATTGACGTGGCAGCGGCCTATTATACTTCCCGCCCTACTATACGTGTGTGATTGAGACTGCATGCATAGACATAGTTTTCATCCACTTCGTTCGGAAGGCGGTTGGGTCGTGTGCCTTGCTCTTTCCGCCCTGCTCCGTGCCGCCGCTGACACAGAGGTCAGAGGTCGCCGACCAGGGGTCACCTGTCGCCGGGTCAGACGGTGATCAGGGCACGTCTCAGCCGGATGATGGGTGGGAGGCGGCCCGGAGACCGGCTTAGGGTGGCTTTTCTATGACGCCCGCCGAACTGACGCGACCGCGGCGGACCTGCCAGCCGGCCGGGACATGGGTGCCGCGCCCCAGAATCGTAACGAGCCCAGTCACCTGAGTGTGTTGACCTGCCGGCACGTTAGCAGCTGGAGATTGGATTGTGAGGATGTCGGAGAGAGGTTGCTGACCTGTCGAGGCCACGGTGAGAGGCCGTCTGTCGGCTGAAAGTAATAAAAGGATTAATAAAATGCAAGCCACTCCCACAAGTCAATTGCACTGTCATTTCGCCAGCAACATGGGTTGTGCCAAGCGTGTTTTACATATATTATTATTTATTCATTATTTCTGGCGGTGTATAGAGTGATTTGCCTCCGGGCTCCCCTTAGGTAATGGGCGAAAACCGGTTTGCGAAATTATCAATTAATTAAATAAAAGTGTTATTATGTATCGTTCGAGCCACCTGTGAGATATAAAGACCAGATAACAAAACGTTACACATTGGGTGATGCAAGCTACCGTATACTGGCCGTGGCGTGCCCAGTCACAGATAGCATCCTTGCCGCCACCGATAGGGGTGAGATCTCAATGCGATGCCTCATAGACCTCAGCAAATGTTTTGACGTCATTGACCATGAACTCCTTGTCAAAAAGCTCCAAATCTACGGTATTGAGACCTCCTGGTTTTCCGCTTATCTTCAGGGACACACGCAGAGTGTATCCCTGAAAGACAAAACCGGCCGTAAGATAACCTCTCGACCGCTCCCAAACACCGTAGGAGTTTTCCAGGGTTCGGCTCTGGGTCCCCTCCTCTTCACTATATTCTCCAACGACCTCTCACTATTTGCCGGAGACGCCACCGCTTATCAGTACGCAGACGACACCCAGATATTGGTGAGCGGCCCACGCAACGACATCAGGAGTCTCATCTCGCGCATGGAGGCATCGCTAGAGTCACTTAACGCATGGTTCTGCGCACACGCCCTGAAAGTCAACGCTTCTAAAACTCAACTGATGGTATTCGGTAGCCGACAAAACCTACGTAACCTGCCTCGCTTCAAAATCTCTTTCCGTGACGCTGAGCTCCTGCCGTGCGCGCAGGTGGGAAACCTAGGTGTTGTATTCGACGGCGCTCTCACCTGGGAAGCACACGTGGCCGAGCTGAGCCGTCGCTGCACGGGCGTACTGATCGGCCTCTCCCACGCACGACACTGCCTCCCAGACGGTATCCTCAAAACGATCGTGACTGCACTCGTCATCTCGCGCGTCCAGTACTGCCTCACTGTATATGGAAACGGCTCCCAGAAAAACTTCGACCGACTCCAAAAAATTCTAAACTTTGCAGCACGGGTCATATTCGGCCGCCGGAAATTCGATCACGTCTCTGGCCTCCGCGATTCACTCGGATGGATGCCTCCGAAAGCTATGGCCGATGTTAAAACCATGGTAACTGCGCAGAAAATAATAAGCAACGGCGAGCCCGAAGCACTAGCTGCCATCTTCACGAATAACAGTGACGCGCGAGAGAGATCCACACGACAGGACCACCTTTTCCACCTTCCACGCTCGCGGCTCGAGACTGGCAAGCGACGGTTCGCCTACCGGGCCGCGGCGCTACTCAACAGTCTGCCTCCCGGTGTCATCGAACAGCGCCCCGCCCAATTCGCCCGTGCGGCCAAGGCTGCAGTCTGTCCGGCGATGACGACCGCCCGACGATGACCCGTGTCAGGGGAAGGAGGTGCGACATCCGTGTGCGGTGTGCTGTCTTGAATCGTCCGTTTGTATATAGAGAGAGAGAGCGAATGTCCAGCGATTGAATTTGTATGCCTGTGTTTCTTGTCCCCGCATGTTTTTGTTTGTGCCCGACTCAGACTCTGGACTGTAATCGCCACGCCCCGCGTGGATTGTCCATGAAGGTAATACAATACAATACAATGGCGTGCCCTGCGGCAACGTCTCACACTGGTGCAACAAGGCTGGAAACAATGCAACGAGATCCGTCTCCGGCCTGTCGTCAGTGTCCGTTCCAATAAATTTTAACAAGCCGATATATGCCTTTATTATACACCGCACATCTACAAGCACGGTATGTGCTTTCAAAGGTATCATAGCATAGATAGGTGGAAAGGTGCAGCATATGACTTGGTGAGTCCATGCCCAAAATCGGCACCGAGACCGATGCAGGCTGCAGCCTCTGCAGTCGCAGTGGGGTCCATTCGGCTAATGGTTTTCCGATTATATAAGCCCGACTGTCACTGTGGCAGACCGCAGACCTGGGCCGAGTTGCCCAGTTCGCTGCGTTTCCCCGTGACCGTCGACCAGCTCTGTAATACCGATCCGCAGCTATCGGGACAGGTCTGTCCGTTCAGCTCAGACCGAACGAACAGTGAACAGTGACTCTGATGGAAGACAGCTGCTCCGCGCTGTCGTCATAGTCGGGGCGATGCATGTAAGGTATTTGGGCTGGGCCTGCGTCATCCAGCAAGAGACTTCCAAAAGTACATTGCCTGGCGTTTTGACTGTCACGGTGAACGTTCGAAATGCCGTGCGCCCCACTAGATCGTTTGTGTTTAGCACACCCGTCCAATATTTCCTCCCATCATCCTCTCCATTTGTTTTATTTTCACCGCCCTCACAATACCTCCATCTATCCGCCCCACCGTCCAAGGCCCACTGCACTCTCCTTGTTCACGCACAGCCACCCCCGTCAACTTTATCTCCCCACGCACTCCTGTAACTCGGCCCTACCGTCCATTCAGTCGGCTGCGCAGAGAGCGGGGGTGAACCACTGATTGGCCAGAAGACGGCCGCCGGTGACGACGGCGTACCAGTGTCGGCTTACAACTGCTGATGAGGCTCGAGTGTCCGATGACGAATTGCAGAATCGTGTTCGGGTCGCGCGGGGTCGCGGAGCAGTGGCACGGGTAGTTATTGAACGGGTTTTTACGGGAAGATCATTTGTCCTTAGAATAGGGGAGACGGTAATGAAGTAGGTATGCGAATTTTGATGTGCCATTGTATAGAGATCTTGTACGCGGTGGAATGATATGCGATGACGGCCGCCGGCCGCCCTCCAGTGCTCTTTGGTGACCCATCCCTCGCTGGTGCCCTGTGGTGACCGCTCCCTCTCTGGTGCCCTGTGGTGATGCTGGTGACGTGTCCCGTCGGTCGCCCAGAGTCCATTTACGGGTCACAGCGACCGCTGTCAGCCTGCGTGTCGTCTAGCGATGGATGGTGGACCGTGATAGGTCACCAGCGGCGGCCATATGGACTCTGTTGTATGTCTGTGTGCCTGTCTGTCTATGTGTCCGTATGCCTGTCCCTGTCTGCCTGTGTGTCTATGTATCTGTCTGTCTGTCTGTCTGTCTTTCTGTCTGCGTACTCGCGCTTGGTCATCTAATAGGATTTCCGTGAAACTCATGTGGCATGACTTCCCAAAGTTCGTGACATCTACCAGTACATATGTAACCTGCATATGCAGACTCGAACAAACGACCTCCGTCCTCCAGATGCATTGGGTAGGGTCACCAGAGTAGCTACTCCCAGATAAGCAATTTATTGGACCAGGGGAGCAATTGCCCGATACACAATTACTCCTTTTTGCTGCAATCAAGCGATTATTCACTTTGGTCTCTCTTGCCCCAAAACGATTGCCTTTATTCCTTCGCGGAAAACGAATACATTTGGCGCCAAAAAAGCGTTGCGATATATTGCATCAAGAAACATCGAATCGATGTACATAGGTTGTTACACTTCGCATTCATCCAAGCGTAAACGCAAATGTCGCTGGTCTTCATTTAGGGATGGGTTTTATTTTCTCCAGAAACAAATAATACGAGATTCTGTGTCCATTGTGCACGGTTGTCTAAGAAGATATCTAGTCCATCTTTTCACACCACTGTGAGTTGTGTAACCTATCCTGGACGTTTTACCAGCTTAACCTTGCCGTTTTCTTTGCCTCAGATGTACTCGCTGGTCTGGGCGTGTGACCTGATGGTGCGGATCGACCCGCTGGACGTGTTCATCCTCCTCATCTCCTGCATCTGCCACGACCTGGACCACCCCGGCTACAACAACATCTACCAGGTCAGTTACAAGTTAGTAGTAGAGACAGGTTACAACGTCTACCAGGTCAGTCAGAGATGGGAAACACATCTACCAGGTTAGTCGGGGTGGATACCTACAACATCTATAGGTACCGGGTCAGTTAGAGATGGGTGCAACATCTACCGGATCAGTTAGAGTCTGGCAACAACATCTACTAGGTCAGTTAGAGATGGATATGACGGATACACCAGGTCAGTTCGAGACGGGCAGCACATCTACCAGGTCAGTTAGAGATGGACGCAGCAGCTACCAGGTCAGTTAGAGACTGGCACAACATCTACTAGGTCACCCAGGGGAACATCTATCAGGTCAGTTAGCCCTGATAGATTAGCCCTGATGTGTTACCCGTCTCTAAATGACCTGCAGGTCTCTTCGTCTCATTTCGTCTCTAAATGACCTGCAGGTCATTTAGAGACGGGTACCACATCTACTAGGTCAGTCGAGATGGACACAACATCAATGACTGATCGGTTCAAGACTGGCAGCACATTTATCAGGTCAGTCAGCGACGCGGGCTGACTGACCTGGTTAGCCAGGAACATCTATTCCAGGTCGGTTAGTGACGGACAGCTCACCTAAAAGTCAGTCAGTCCTTCTCCTCAGCATCTCCAGGCCCCAGCAGCGGCACTGTGTGATCTAGTGACCGTAAACTTATTGCATGTCAGAGGTATCGGGCTGCCACGGCCTATTTCTGAACCTCGCCACCCGTTATCCGTGGCGATATAGAGAACAAATCGCATTTTCCCAGCTCGTTCCCGCGCGAGAGGGTGTCATCTCGTGTTCCCGAGTGGGACAGATTGACAGATATGTGACGGGTAACTGCATATCAGCAGCCGTGATGGGTTCGGCGATTGCATAACTCGTTCCATATGCGTATACGGAATAGGAACTGTCCTACAGGGTAAAATCCTATTTTGTTTTCATTCGGGATGCATCAGGCGCTGAAGGTCACGCCCATAACTTACGACATGGTAAAGGGAGGAAGCGTGAGCTTAGAACAACATACGCTAGTGCTGCTCTACGTCACTAAACCTTTTTTGTAGCGGACATTCATTTTCTCCAAAGATTTTAAATCCATTAGATCGGAGTGTGATTGGATAATTAAAATTATCCGGCATCTCCGGAGTCCGGACTCCAATCATTAATCATACCCCACAAACACTGTAAACGTACATATAACAACACAAACACTGTAAAAGCTGTCGTAAGCTTTCGTATGCCCAGTGCCGCCCATCTGTTGCGTCCGTCGTCCCAGGTGAAATGCGCGGCGGTGTCACAGTCACCGTCGCTGTCCATTCGCGTATCTGGGTTTTTGTCGCTGTTTGCCCGTATGGCCGCAATGGCTGGCCTGTTTTCGTCCGGCCGACTGAAAGCGATCCCGTGTCAGCGCTGGCGACGCCGCCGGAGCGCCGCAGGGAGTCGAACTGCCAGCGGCGCGGGCTCCCCACCTCAGTGACCCAGGGCAGGGCAGAGCGGCCACTGACCCCACCGGGGTGGTAGGGGGGGGGGGAGCCATGTCACGGACCCATTATCAGTGACCTTTAGACGTCATGCTGCCTACGTTTATTGTGGGTGAATGTTTGGGAAAATGGCCTCCAAAGTCCAGCGGCACTATTTGATCTACTTAGGTACTGACTGACGTTTTCCAATTTTGTCTAGTTTTTTTTTTTTTTTTTAACAAAAAATATGAGCTTTTTTGACAAACATTAGCATTGGTGTGCAAAATTAAAAGCTGCTAAAAGCAGCCTCAGAATGCCTCCCAGCCTCCTCCACCCACGGCCACCTCTCGGTATTTTAGGGTCACCATGCTGAGCCCCGCCCCGGTTTGAGGTCAGCACTACTGCGCGCCGGCCCTCGGTGGTAAGGTCAGTGGCCAGTCGGCGTCACCACCCATTTGGGCCGACCGACGCAGCGCAGAACCGTCACCGACCCGACTAGGTCGGCTTCTCTGGTCGCCAGAAACGTCAACACCGCGCCGCAATCGACTACTTACCGATACACAGCTCTGGGGACGCTGAAATCCGCAATGACTCGCGGTAAAGGCTTAAAAAACATCGATAAAAGTCCGTGAAGAAACGAAAATAAGTACGTCAGTCGGTTTCGAGCTAAGCTTAGGCGCCGGAAATCAATTAATTAACATCGCTTCTCAATGACGTTTCACCGAAGTGCTCAGGTATATTTTATTATTAAAAGGGCTTCATTTTGAAAGGCTTATAAGTGGATTGTATTTATATCACAGACCTCAATATGCACTTGCCGACACATCTATCCGTACTGTAGTTGCGGACATTTGCCGCTCTTTATACGCTATCCACAGGCAGCCTGGTCGAATTACATCGGACTCTGACGTCAACAGGTCGTTTACCTATCGCCGCTATAGGGGAAGCCGGGGGAAGCCCGGGCGCGGGGGATGCCCGGCAACCCCGTTTCCGGCTAAATTATTCACAAAAAAATGCTCAACTGTTTGTCCTTTCAGCGTGGCAGCTGAGGTAACGCCAGCGCAAAAGTTAAAGCTAGCAAAAATTGCATATTGTTAAAGTTATAGAGCAAAAATGATATTTTAAGGGTTTTTAGCTAAAAACTGATATATGATGCACTGTTAATGTTATACCATACATCCCTAATATTTATACAGATGTTATGAAAGGACCGTTTAAGTGTTTGTAGTGAGGGGTAACTAGGCAGGCTGGCTTAAGTATGACATTTTGTTTCGAACATCGCTGTTCTAAAATGAAATTAACACATTGGGGTAACCCCGGGCGAGTGGGCGAGCTTACCCCCAACCGAGAGCAATGCCACTAAACCGCTGTTTTCCATGAGATAATAGGTACTGAGTAGGTTTGGTTTACACCTGGCCAAAATATAAATTTTGAAAATAAACGTGTTAATATAGACAAAGTCTCTTTAGCTTGTCGCTCTATTCCAGTGCCCGTACCTATCAGTTATGGATGAGGGGCGATTGCTTGCAAGGTTTTTACTGTAAAAATATGGGAGAGATCTGCTCCATTTTAACGGTTTTGGGTTATACTATGGGTTATACTATCACTTACTATCAATAAGTGTGATTAAGTTTATGTTTGTATGCTACAAGAACGGCTATGTCACTTGAGGTCAACTATAGGGTCAAACTACGTTTTTGCAGATAACATGATAGAAAATGAAGCTAGAGCTTCAAAAATGATGTTATTGTGTTCTTCATCAGCCGAGTCGAATGGTATGTTATATGATGCATTTAGGTAAACGAAAAAATGAATTTTAAGGAATTTTAAAATACATATTTTTTGTCTATTTTGCATCACGATTTTCATCGACCTGTGCCCTATATGTGGTAGACGCTGGCAAAAATACCTGAAGTGTCATAAACTCCAAGGTGTCCAGAGCTAAACAGTACCTTAATATTTCACTTTCCGTCAATATTTGGGGGACACATAATGGTTTCACCAACTCGTTGTTAAGCGCTGCAGAGGTGGCCGGCGTTACCCCTATGCCGGGCTTACCCCAGAAAAATTTACATTTTTTAAAACTCGAATTACGCAATTTTATACTAATTCCACAAAACCGAGTTTTTGGGAAAACATGGCCAATTAACTTATTTAGCTAACAAGATATCAACATTTTATACAGCACGCAAGGTATGTAATAAAAATGAAAAAGAGCTTATTAGTGCCGGACTTCCCCCGGCTTTCCCTACCACCATTTGTGCGATATTTTTATCCAAATGGCCGAAAAGACGCCGGATTAGCTGACGCAGGCCAAATAGGTACAGTCCCCAGCTAATGTGTCGTGCTAGTTCATCCCCTCCGTAAGTGACAGACATCAACCGGGTCAATAACTGCACAGCATGCCCATCGCATCCGGCCATACACGTTACACATCTCTGGCTGGGGGTTTCTGGTTCTACGGGCACCCAATGCAGTGCAGTGGGCACAGGCTGCTCTTTATAATCCAAGAACTGGCAATTGGCATAATAAATGCATGCCTGTTACGACGAAATTGCGCCAAATGAGGATTGATTGTCATTGTGAGGCCCACTAATGCCGCCGTCAGGCTATCTCATACAGATACGAGCATGCCAGTAAGAAATAAACACTTGTGTCCATGCCTTTTATTACATATCAATGCTCTCTCGACGGCCGACGCTGTGTCTGCCTAAATCAAACGTTTCCAAAAGCAGCAGCAAAGGGCGCTTGACAAAGATCAATGGTTGGGCGATCGTGCGCTGTTGACCGATATCTCGGCAAATAGTGGATGATGTTTATGTCATAATTTGTGTTAATAGGCAGCAAGCCAACGTATTAATCGACATAACGGCCAAACTCTATTATATTCTCTCAGTTATTGGGCCCAGTCACCGCGCGCCTCTGTCATGCGGTGCAGCATAACTTCAGGCGCACACTACTGCCGCCATCTATCGTCGAAAAGATAAGCATATGGAGACAGCCTGCCCCGCGCGACTTGCAGCCTGTGGGCTGTGTTCATTGCAGGTTGCATTAATAAGCGCCGCCGAATACCAACTACAAAGTAACGGTCAACGGATGTTGCCTGCATTAGGCACAGCTTGATGTCAATGATACGGGATACCTATTAATTCCCCTCGCCCCGCTGTGAAGAGCCCGCCATGTCTCGCCCCGTCCCTGACACAGTCGTCTGTCGCTCCTATCGCCAGATTAACGCCGGCACCGACCTGGCGCTGCGCTACAACGACGTATCGCCTCTGGAGAACCACCACTGTTCTGTGGCGTTCACCATCCTCCAGGAGCCGGCCGCCAACATACTGGCCCGCCTGAGCCCCGCCGAGCAGCGGCGCGCGCGCGAGGGTATCATTCGCTGCATCCTGGCCACCGACATGGCCAGACACAACGAGATCATCGGCCAGTTCCGCGAGATCGTCGACGAGTTCGACTTCTCCGAGCCGATCCACGTGAACCTGGTGAGGAGGAGCAGCGGCGGGCAGTAGATAGGGATGGGAAGGGTACATAGAGCATGAACGGTGTAACAAGGAGTGGGGCTTGTGTCCAATTCTTCAGGGTGGCGAGGGTGTATGCGTACCCTGCACATTTGAGCTGTGTCTGTTAATCGACTTCAATCGGATGCCGCCTCCTGCCTCACTGGGTGGCGATGGAAGGTAGAAGATAAAGCCCGTGTATGACGCCCTTATTCACTTCGGCAGCTGTCAATGATCCTGATCAAGATAGCCGACATATCAAACGAGGCTCGCCCGGTACCGGTGGCCGATCCCTGGATCGACTGTCTCCTACAGGTCGGTATAACTCGATAAACAGTTAGGTAGAGACGAGCACTCAAACAAACACAAGCAGACGAGCGACAACACTGACACTGCACTGTACAGTGTACGGTTAGACGTATGTAGACGTATGTAGACATACATGTAATTGCCATATACGAGTAATTGCCTCGTATGTCGTTGCAGCTGGTTAAAACGTGGACGACTGCACGGTACACACGCACAGCCATACGGTTCAGCATACCTGCAACAACAGACTCGAGCTGATCTGCTGCACCTGAGTCTTGATGTGGCACCACAAGCTCCTTGTAATACCATTAAAAAATACATTTTTTATCGTAATAAAGTTTATAGGACGTCTTCCCTGTACGCATTTGCCGTCTTGCATTGTCTTATGCTATAATTAAATGTTATGTAAATTGTTAATTCTGTACCGGATGACGTTCTGTGTTCATTACGGAGCGAGCGAAGCGAGCGGAGTCTTTCCTTAAACGGAAATTTCTGAGTATGTGTGGCCGGCGAAATTTCTGAGTATGAGCGGCCGGCCGGCCTGCCGGCCGGCCGTGGTCACGCTTTTGCGAGGCTTATATCTCAGCAACCACTTGACCGATTTACATGCGGTAATTTTTGTAGGGTAGCTTCATTCCTTCTACCAAGTATTGGACTATTCCTGATGCATGTGGGTGACCCCTTATGCACGTGCCACGTGCAAAACGAAGAGGTGTCAGTTTTATAATTGTTGCAATATCTCGGTAACTACTTGGCCGATTGCGCTGAAAGTTGGCATGTAGGTAGGCACCCACTAGGCACTGCATATCCATGTGCCAGAGTTGGGGTGCCGCTGCACGTGCGCACGTGCTGGGGCGTTTCCAGATCTCGAGAACGGCTCGACCGATTGCGCTCAAATTTGGTACACAGTTAGGGACCGGTTAGTAGGATAGGATGCCGTGCACAAGTCAGTTGGGACCCATTTTGCACGTGCGCACGTGCAGGATGCCGCTTCCAGATCTCGAGAACGGCTGGGCCGATTGTGCCCAAATTTGGCACATCGCTAGAGACCGGTTAGTAGGGTGCCGTGCACAAGTCAGTTGGAGGTACACCCTCGCAATTTCGTACGTGCAAGGCCCACCCTCTCGCTCGCTCCGTTAGTCGCCCCAAAAGGCGTTATACTGGTAATACCTGCTAAAAGCTTTAAAGCAGATAAGTATAGGCATAAGTCGCAGGGAATAGAGAAATATAACTATGTCACGCTTGTGCGCTTAGTAGGTATACAGTAACTTACTCGTAGACGTTACTGCATACCCACTGTTACCCGTTTTAACGTTATGTTGCCAGTAGACGTCTTAACTTGTTATAAAAACTGTTTGTTGGATATCACATCTTAGCTTCAGTCAAGCTGCTCCGGCGGCGTATGTCCCTGCTTGACAAGCTTGCTTTCTCTGTAAGAAGGAGTAATCCCTATGCTGACGATTCACCCGCTGTGCCTCGGCAGGAGTTTTACAACCAGAGCGACCGTGAAAAGGCCGAGGGTCTGCCCGTGACACCGTTCATGGACCGCGAGAAGGTCAACAAGGCCGCCTCCCAGTGCAACTTCATCTCGTTCGTGCTGATGCCGCTTCTAACGGCCGCTGCCGAGCTGCTCAAGGAGCTGGAGGTGAGTTGAAGGACAGACGGTCGAGCCGCACCTCAGGTGCCGGGGAAGCCAATATCTTACACGGTATATGAATGGGGAATAGAAATGGCTTGATGCAAAGCATGCCCGCCATTTTTGTCACATTGCTGGAAATAATTGCATCGCCCGCCATGTACTGTTACATAACATGAGTAATTGATAGGGACACTGTGCTCTGTGGTGTCATGAACTGCAACTGAGTCCTATGAATGCAGCGAACTTGTCTCTTCGCTACTGAAACACTATTTGTAGTCGGTAAAGCCCTCTGCATGGACCATAGTTGGGAAGCTATTTTCAATTTAGCCGATACCTGCGCCCTGCAGTGGTCGCTCCTTTGCCTGCTGCCTGACGTCCCGTCCCTCTGCTCCTGCGCAGGGTCTGGTGCTGCACCCCGCCCGCGAGGCTCTGGAGCACTACTCCCGGCTGAATGAGCTGCCCCGCTCGGCCCGGACCAGCCTGGAGACGAGTGTACTGAGCGGCTCCTCACCGACTGCACCCATCGAGCCCGTCCCTGAGGACGCGGAGACATCTGAGGACACCCTCAACGAGGCGGAGGTCAGCGAGCGCTCCGCCAAATTCAAGATCGCCACCCGGAACGACTCGGTGTGCCGCCGGGTGAGCGAGGACCCTCCGACGTCCGTCTCGCTGCCCAGCTCCGGCTCCGGCGACGGCAGTCTGCGCATCTCGCGCTACTTCCGCTGGATGCTGTCGCGGACGGAGGAGAAGCGGCCCTCCTGGTCGGGCCCGGAGCGCACCGCCGGCGCCGTGGTCGGTCTGATGACGGCCGACCGGCGCCGGCCCGCCTCCAGCCCGCACGACGCGCGACTCATCACCAACGGACGGTCCGGGGCGCGCGCCTCGCCCGTGCGCGCGCCAAAACCCGGCTACCTGCGCTCGCTGGTGCTGAAGAAGCGCGAACAATCGGCCGGCGCGCGCGACGGCTCCAGTTAGACGCGGTGCTGGCGGCGGGCGCGCGGGTCGCGACCGGCGCTGGCTCGAGCGGTGTGCGCTTCTGTGAAGGCGGCGGAGAGTCCCAGCAGGGCAGCGGGTGGTGCGAGGCCAGTGCGAGGTACCCAGGTGTCGGGTGGTCCCGAGACGTGCGCTGCGGCGCTGCTGAGGTAGGGACGGCCCAGTTACGTTCGGTCGGCGCTGCTCCCGGCACTGTCGGCGTCGCTCGCTGTTGTGTTGGTGTTTGCCGTCTCGTCTAATGCCAAATCTCGCTGGGCCGGTGGGGCGGGGCCGACCGGAGGGGTATCGCGCGGCAGACAGCCGGGAGGTGTCGAGTCTCAGTGAGACTGGGGTTGGCTGGTTCTCAGTGTTTCGTCCGGGTCAGATTATAAACGAGCGATGCTCCGCTCGGGAACAGGACCGACTTGCGGCTGCCACTCCTGTCGCCAATGCCCCAGTATTTTTTTTTTCTCTCTCTCAAATGTTTCGGTGCGTGTGATGCCGCTTCGGCAGCATAGAGGCCCGTGCATATCACTATGTAGATGTGTGTCATTCCATAGATTGTGGACCAACGTCCTTTTTACTGTTAGTTGGTCAATGTGAAGTTTCAGTGCTACTTAAAAGAGATTTCAAGCGTAGACCTGACAAAAGTTGAATGACTATCATACCACAAATTTTGCAATGCCCGGTGCATCGTAGTATTTGGTGAGACGATGCCCAAAATAAGCTGCCGAAGTGGCAGGCTTGTGCTTATTTATTATAATTTATTTTTAAAACCCTTTCGATTTACGTTGTCGTGGTTCATATGCGGCCTATGCAATGCTCAGTTGTTCTCTGTCTTCTGGTAACAAGTCTGACCATGTCTGACATAACATGCGACACTATCTTATCGGCACAACAAAAGTCAAACACTATAGCTCCTATCCCTCAGACCTAAATAGCCTACATGTCCCTATACATATAATATTCATATCAGGTCATATATGTCATGTGTTGAGCTGTGGTGAAAGGAAGAGCTCTTAAGAGCAGAGCGAGATGGGACAAGTAGGATTGTTGATATTGTGTCAGGTAAGTCAGCTGTATCTGTTAAAGAAACGAATGACCTTGCGGTAGCCATTTTCGCAGGGGAGCTGTGCGCTTTGTGCAGCGAAGTGCACAGTTACCGATGTGTTATCATACCATAGGCTATGCTGTTAAAGAGCAGTATGGTGCATGTGTCTGAGAGTTGTATATCGAGAATATCGACGGCTGCTGGGCGGCCCCAGTCACAGTTTGTGCGCTGTGCGATAGTTCCGAGGAAGGGGCGTGTGTATGGCACGGCTACCGGCGCTGGTTTTGTACGCCCTGTTTTCGTTGATTCGTCTGTTTGTTTCGCCTCTGCAGTGCAGTACTGTGGTGTGTGTGCCCGGGTGACCTGTGTCCCGTTCAGTGATGTTATTCGGGCGGCGCTCGGGCACAGCTCGGCGGCTGTCCTGGCGCCGCGGCGAGCTCGCTGTTAGGTCCGGCGTGGTTCTCGTGCGAGGGGAGCGGTCGGCTGACAGGTTCAGTTGCGACTTACCAATGAGACATAGTCACGGGCTACGGTACTCGGGGCGGAACTCGCGCAGCGCCTGACACCCGCCCGCGGGCCAGCGCGAGAGCGTTATATTCCGTCTGTGTGCGTGAGTGAGTGTGTGCAGGCGCTCTCGCTGGTTCATGTGCCAATGTTGTGTTCACCGGTCGCGGTGGGCGAGACTTCCAGTATTAGCTGAATGTGCGACGTCGCCGCGCTCGACAGACAAAGCCCGGACGTCGCGCTTCACTCGGGTATTGCTGCCGCCGTTTGATACTGACAATGGTTGATCAAAAGCTACGCTTCGCATTGATGTTGATAGTTGATACAGTTGTTTGTAACTCTGGTCCGCATTGGGTCCGTGTGTGTGTGTGTGATGTGGCGGAGGCAACGACGACGGGTTGTAATCGACTCAGAGGAGTAGATCGGCTCAATGAGGCATCAAACTTCGATAACGCCTGCTCGAGTGGGATCCGTAATCCTTTCAGGTAACTATTAAGAACTTGAGCCTCGCTAAATGATTTAATTTGCCCGCTTCTATCCTTTTATGTTAGGAATGCCGTTCGCGACACAGCACTTTTATACTTGTGGAGATGCAGGGACATATACCTATGTTTTTTTTTTATAAATTTACTCCGAACCTTTTGAATGGAAGGATTCACAATGTCAGAGTCCCCGGCCCGCTAAGCGAAGCTTGTTACGGTGACCCTGCCCTCTACCCTCCGATCGCGCAATTCCAGGGTGGTGTTTCACCGGTGATAGCAGCACGCTGCTATTCGTGTCAAATTGGGTTTCCATGGAGACGTCAACAAGCCCATTGCTCCAACACTACCACAAGTGTGACGTCAGCAGAATAGCAGCGTGTTGCTATCACCGGTGAAACACCACCCTGTTCTATGGCTGAATTTGGAGTCCAAAGTTTAACGTGCGCACATAGCCGCGCACGGCCGGTCCCCTCACTGACTTCGCCTGGCTGCGGCCTGCCACCAACCGCAACCATACCTGTCAGGAGGCCCATAAACGTCAAGCGCCCGTCGCGCTACGAACCCGGACTGTTATAACCGGGAACGCGTGCTCTCACCACGCGGAGTCCAACGCTCTACCCACTGAGCTACGGGACCGGCATATGATAGTACGGCTAAGCCTGTGGAGTTACAGACGTCTTTCGGCATTTATTGAGAGCCAAATTTTGTGTGTGGGTGTGTGTGTGTGTGTGTATGAAATTCGCGTATTTCAACGGAGCCCGAAGCAAAGTCACAATAAGTTGTATAATAAGCCATAAGCTATTATAGGTTGTAGGTATTATCAGCTATACAAAGCTAAGGAAAGCTGTCCTATTTATTATCTTCGACAGGCAGAACTATTCTGAAACTTGAAAATGTGTGGAAATTAGAGTAGACAATGTATTGTCTGTAATATACTTTACACTTATTCTTCCTAAGCACGAATGAACAAAACGCCTTGATTTGTCGGCGAAAATGCCGTTCTCGCGAGGGAACTCAGTTAAAAAGCCTAGACAACTCCGTTTTTCTGTCATTCTGCCACGAATTTAGGTTTTAGGTGCCGAGCTACTTACAGATCTTTCCCGTAGCCGATGTTCTAAGAGAAGGTACATATTCCGATATCATGTGACAAAAACGGTTAAGATACAGGGAAATACGAAACCATATTGTATCCTTCTCTTAGGCTGTAATCTTTCGCGCTAGCCTTCTTCCAGCAGTCGTATTAAGTAAATATAACTATTATAGAATGAATTGAATTAAGGTCTGAGTCTGGTGCCGTCTATCATTAGTATTATGTTACTTATAGACAGGCGACGCATCTGCGTCCTCTCTGGTTTGGTCATCACGTGATGTGTATGCTGTATACTCTGAGCGGTCGCCGTCATTACATTCACTGTAACTCAATATGAGATCTAATTCTGAACGTCATAGTGGTCCGCGTATATCAAACACGAGGCTATTAGTGAGACGGCTTTCGCGTCTGATTCATGAGAAATGAGAAGGATAAAAAACTTGTGAAGGGTTTCGGAAACCACACATATGTAGGTACCGTAGGTACCTATCACAGAAAGAAACGAATGGAAATGATGTCTTCCCTTCGAAAACGAAATAAGAGCTGAACTGAATCATAAATAAAACATGAGATAAAAATAAGATATTCCATTACAGGTAGGTACTAACACCGATGTATTGTTCGCTAAATGAAAGACTGCCATAAAATCGAAGCTTTGTTTCCGACGTTAAATGCCTAATGGACCGGCTCTTTATGCTCATAAAGGTACCTATGCACAATGCACATCGCACAAACATACGATTTTATGTCTCACAGAGATCACTGACCGGTTACTAGTTAGATACCGAAATATATTTTCTGCACTTCACGAATCGCTCACGTGATCATGCAGGTAATGTTGAACACAGAGTTTGGGACAGTTCTCGGTAGGTCAGCTTATCTATTTACCGATAGATGGCACAAGTGGTGAACGCCTGGAATCATACTGCACCGCACAACAGCTGAGCGCTGCCGGTGCAGCATATCTGCAGGCGTTCCACGCTGGGGTCACCTAGTTTCGAGAAGATGCATGTGCTAGTGATGAGAAAACGGCCGTGCCCACATTCGCAGAAAATGATGAAAAGAATGAGTTTTACAATTGCTCGATTAAGGCAAATAAGAAACAAAACAATGCTCGCAATGGTAACACAAGAAAGCATGTTACATAAGTTGTTTTGCTGTTTCGACCTGCAAAGAAACCACTGACAAACCATTAATGCGAATGCTCTTTTACTCAGACGGAGCCCATTGTATGACTGGCTGCCAGTAGCAGTGTGGCTTGTCCGCTGCGTTTACTTATAGGCGGCGGAACGGGGGGGGAGGCACCGGGGCACCATGCCCCCCTTTGATTTTGGCATTTTTACAATAGCCCTATGGGCGTTGCATGAAAAGAATGGGACCAAAAGTCGGCAGTGCCCCCCCCCCCCCTATTGAAGGTATTCCGCCGCCACTGCGTTTACCCGTACCTAATCCACTCAGATCCCCTCAAACAACACCGCAATTCGCGCTGCCTCCTGCTCCGCCCGTTCTCGAGCCGGCGGCGACATTTTGCCACGGTGCTCCGCCGCGTCGGCGCCGCCCCACCTGTCGTCCGAGGTGTTTGCTCAGCTCGACTTTACAGCCGACTCGCAAACAGACCGATTGTCGTCCTGCCGGGGCTTAGGCCGACCTAGCCCGACAGTGGGGTGCATCCGGTAGACCGCCGGGGAGCTAAGGTGCCTGACGGGTGTAGGTGTGAGAGTGCGGGCGTCAGGAGACACGTGGGTGTAAGACTAGGTAATATGTAGGTATGGAAGCCAAATGACTGGTGTGTGTAGATGTGCGTGCGTCAGCCAGGATCCGGGCGGTGGTCAGTCAGGAGTCAGGCGGATGTGGACTGGAGACGTCAGACGACGTTTTATGTCTTCACCAGCGGATGAAGACGTAAGACGTCGGTAGGTGTAATGCCTGTCGGACTGTTTGTGTAAGGAGAGTCGGGCGGGTATGGGACTGTGGGAGTAAGACGTCAGTAGGTGTAACTGCCTGCCGAAGTGTAGTCTGTGTAGGCGAGACGAGTCGGGCGAGTGTGGGCGTGCGGACGTCGGCGGCGGGTGGGAGCCTGCAGCGGCACTGCGCTGCTGGAACTCATCAGAGAGGTAAACCATCAGGCAAACACTGCACGGCCCGCGGTAAACTGTCTGTCACTGGAACAATCAGCACGGCCACCGCTCCGGGAAACCGAGCTAAATCGACGCTGATCCAAACAGCCCAAACGACCGATCGCCGATCGCTGACGACGGCCGTCGGCGGCGGCGTGACGGCGGCCAGATCAACCCCCCCCCCCCTCCCCACAGCGGCGGAGGCGGACTGCGCAATAGCCTGCCGTGACTCACTCTCCCAGGATCGTGGGACTTTGATATCGCCCATATGCACGTAGATCAAACGACCCGGTCCCAAATGCCCTACGCCGTCTGATTTAGATTTCTATTTTTGGTCATTTTACGTCCACCCTCGTTTCCGCTTGCCTTGTTCCATTTAAGCCCGTTTCCCACTTGTAGGTATAGATCTTTTACACCCCGTGCAAAGTTGTATTCCATTAGCCCTGTTATATATTTTCTATCATTTATTCAATTCACACCCCGCAGTGTCAGGCTAACCTGCCCTAAATATCCCCAGCTTCACGTTCACAGTTTCTGTCAATTTCGAATCTATTCGCCTGTCATCCGTTCAGAAACCGTTGCCTTTGCCTAGTCCTTTTACAGGATGCCAGGCGTTATGATGGAGAGTAACTTGTTTATAAAGGTGTTCAAAGTTCGTCTACATAAGATCCGAAGAGAAGGTGTCCCAAAAACCGTCAGCATAACAAATGCAAATCATATACAAAATGCCTTTCCAAACTAAAAATTATCATTCAGTCATAAGTCATCTATGATCTCACCAAACTTAGCCTAGCCTAACCACGCCGCGTATTAAACGGGGCTGTTGCAAGCTCAGCTTTACCTGCCATTTGAAGGCACAATTGCTTATTTGCTTGGCTCAAAAGTTTGGAAAACTTATCAAAGTCGCTGACAATTCTTTCAAGTCCAAAAACTTTGAGCGACAAAACATACTCTCCGAAGCTTAAGTTCCATTGTATTGAAAATGAGCGTCGAAAGCACAAGCTGAACGTTATTCAAGTTCACGACCCTCCCCAACCGAGAAATTACTGAAAAACCGTCAGCAGTGTCCGAGACACATTGGTGTGGGATACCAAGATACCTATCGAATAACCCCTTCAAAGCCCATTCAAACAAATAATTCCAAATTTGGCGAGCACGGCTAACAGTTTCTCTCTCCGAGACGTGTCCGCATATCAAAACAATAATACGCCACTCTCAAACAACTCATCTTATGTCACGCCGACCTCCCACAACTCATAACCGTGGCGCCATCTTTCTAACAATCCCGCAGGCCCTCCCTCTCTCCCTCCTCATCTTCAGCACACCTTCCCGAATTCACTCTCCTCCTTAGAACTTCACCTTCCTGGGCGTTCTGGTGGCGGGCGCGGCGGAGACAGCCATCGTCTGCGTCTCCCTAAAGTCGTGCTTGTAGTCTTCCTCCAGTGGCCCGTCGCCGATGGTCGCCAGTCGCGGCGCGGTGGCCGCCGCCTCCTCCTCTCGGCGCTCCGGGCAGTCATCGGCCAGGTGGTCGCGGCGCTGGCACACCTTGCACGAGCCGCCCTTCGGGTAGACGCCGTTGGGGTTGAGTGCGCAGTCGCGCGACAGGTGGCCAGTCTGGCCGCAGACGAAGCAGACGGCGTAGGGCAGTTTGCCGCCGTCGGAAGGCCGCCGACACTCTGACAGACGGTGCTCGGTAGAGCCACAGCGGAAACAGAGGCCCGTCACCGGAGCCTTCAGGCCCGGAGCGCGGTTCGGACAGTCGCCGATGAGGTGGCCCGGCTGACGGCAGCCCAGACACACCTGCCGGAGGAGGGGAGAGTCAGATGACGGTGAGTGGGGAGGGGGAGATACCGAATAGGCGCCATATACCGAACACAATTGATCGAAGAACGCACAGACGCGAGTAACACGCAACGCACTGAACAGTAAATAACTCCACTTATGTACTTCCCGGGATGGCACCTGAACTATACCTATCCACACTTATCTTTTAGTAAAAAGTCCCACCCAGGGCTATATGCCTCATGTCCACTCACCCGCTTAGCGTCTCGTTTGCGTTTCATCTCCTCGCGTCGGCGGGCCGTCTTCATCGTCTGCTTGAGGACCATCTCGGAGACGCGCTGCAGCTTCAGCTGGCGGCGCAGCTCCTTGAGCCGGCCCACGGCGTCCGCCGTCATCCAGACGCCGTCAAACTTCACCATCCGCTCCTCCCGCGGTGCGCCGCCGCCGGGGTTTCGCACGTCCGCCACTGTTCGGCGCTTCGCCGGCGGAGAGCGCTCCTCACCAGGCGTGTCCGCCTCGCCGTCACTCGCGTCGTCCTTGTCTTCCTCAGCGTCAGACCCCTGGGCAACATCAGCATGGTCTCCGCCATCCTCGTCGTCGTTTTCGGCCGCGTCGTCTTGGAGCCGAGCGGCGGCGGAGGTGGGCTTTCGGGCACCACGGGCCGCCAGCTGCGAGAGCAGCAGTCGGTGCTCGGCACGTTTGCGTTTCTTCATCTCGCGTTTGAGCGTCTGCGGGTCGGAGATGGAGGCTGCCAGCTCGGCGCGTATCCGCTCCAGACGCGGCACGGCACGCCGGCGCACCCAGTAGCCCTCGAACTGGGTCATCAGTGGACCCTCGGCAGCAGAGGGGGACCGGAGGCCGCCGCCGGCAGCTTCTGCTGCCACTTCTGTCTGTGGCTTCTTGTTCTGTTTTTCACAGGTAAATTACCGATGTTTTTAGACATCGGCTGTGCATCCGATGTCTCTTCTGCTGAGAAATCATCTCCATTTGTTCATCTTTCATGATAGGAGGCTTCACCATGTCACCATCTTTTATGACATGTTTCTTTTCTCTTTGTGCATGTTGGCATCTTGATTTTTCCTTTTCTTTCCTTTAGTTGGCGACTTACATCATCTTCCCCTTGCAGATTGACATCAGGAACTTTTCCTTCACTATATCCTTCCAAATCAACTGATGTGGCAGCATCATGTTCAAATGCTTCTTCTTTTTCTTTTTTGCACCCTGAGATTTCTGTTCTTTCACTTCCTTATTTTGATAATTTTCCATGTTCACTTTGGTGACTCAGCTTCCATTGAGTCATCTGCATCAGATTTGCTGGAATAGTCAACATCATCCGAGAATTCTTGTGGCAGACTCAGACGCTTTGCATCTATTTTTTCCCTTTTTCTTGCCAGTGGATGCTGTCCTGAAGTGATCTAGCTGAGCTGACAACTTTCCCTTGGCTTTCTTGCCACTACCTTTCAGAGTTGCCACAGGTTTTTTGACAACAGAGGCATTTGAAGGCACCAGCAGCTGCAGCCGAGTGTTTCTCAGCTGATGGAGGTGCCATTTCTGACCATGGCGTAGCATCTAATGGAGGCTTCTTGATGCCTTTCGTTGAGTACCGAGCAAACCGAGTCATTGCTCAAGCTGAAATGAAAGAACAGTTCACATAAATTATTGTCGACACAAAAATGAAAAATGCAACTTTTTACCATATTACATTTACACAATGATTTTGACAAAACCACTCATTTTAACAAAATTGACTACCTACTACCAATAGCCTCTTCAATCATGTCAATGAACCTAGTTACAAATCATGCGTTCTGCGGGGTAAAATGAAATGAAGCTGAGCAACAAAATAATTTGAGAGCAAGGCCGTATATAAGCTTGAGAGAGATTAATAACAGTAACTTCTTTTTAAAAACGTACCTTTGCCCTGCAATCTTCACAGACGACGCACGTGCGCACTGCGCGTGCTCCACCTGCGAGCAAAATATGTCGCTAGAGCGCAAGAAGCGCAAATATGGAAGCATTGCACTAATTGCTACCCAAATCCCTAAATCCCTTCAGCTCCCCTATTCCGCCGTCGCCAAGCCGACGGTGCTGGATCGATGAGCGAAACACCTTCTATATACCCTGGAAACACCCACCACCAAAACCTCATCCCAGACCCTAGAAACGTTATCAAATATCAGTACTGTTGGCTTCACTGGAAAGGGGGATTAAGAAGACAAGCCTCGGTAAGTAATTAGAGTAGTCGGTCGCCAGACGCCAGGCATGAACTGTAAAGTTTTTGAAAGGCTTGTTGATGTTCGCAGTTCGACTTTCAAAGAGGCTTCGTATTTTTTTTTCCGGATGGCGTTATTTCCCTCGCCATCCGAATCAGGAAGTCGACAATACAATGAAAAATCCGCAAATGCCTACGTGAACTTTTTCGAACATCTCGATCTCGGCTTACATCTGCTGAAACAATTCGCACCTTGCGGTTTCCAGACGCGACTGTGAGGTATGGAGGAGCCGTACCCGTTCGCGGCGCTGCAGCTGCTGCTCACCTCCTACCGGCTGAAGCGGGGCTGCACCTGGACGACGAGCCGCCGCCGCCGCTGCCGGACGGCTGTGAGGACGTGGACGTGGGTCAGGTCCAGGAGCTGGTCGAAACGGGCCTGGATGGCGGCCTGCTGCCAACCTGACGGAGGTGCTCGGCTCGCGTCCGTCGCCCCGCTCCGGCGCCGGCCGGCCGGCCGCGGGGAGCGGGGTCCGGGCCGCGGCCGGCGGCGGGACCGTGACCGCGATCAGCGCCGGGAGTTCAGCCTGGCCGAGCAGGACGTCATCATCACCATCCAGGTGCAGGACGACGCGCAGCGGCGCTGCCAGGAGTTCAGCTGCGCCAAGCAGGCGCTGCTGGAGCACATGCCGTACTTCCGTGACGTGGTGCGTGGTCAACAACTGGAGAACGTCGACATCACCATCCACTGCGAGCTGGCGGTGTTCGGCTGGCTAATGCGCTGGCTGGAGAGCCGCTCGGCGGACGCCGCGGCCGCCGGAGCTCTCCGCCGACGTGGTGGGTCCGTGCTCAGCTCGGCCGACTTTCTGCGCATGGAGCACTCGTGGACGAGTGTGTGGCGTTCATCGGAGCTGACCTGTCGGCGGTGGCCGGTCGGCCGGGCGTGGCCTGCTGAGTGACGGATGATGGCACGTCTGCCGCCCTGTTCGACCCCACCAGCAGGTCGAGGCGCTGTCCGAGCACGAGCGGCTGCGCAGCCGGCTCTACTGCCAGCTGACCGCGAGGCTGTGCGGCGCACGACCGCGGCCCGCCGGAGCCCACCAGCGCACCGCAGCGCAGCTGTTCCGCTGTGCCGACTGCGGCCGACTTCTTCTACCAGAGGTAGCAGCTTACATACCCTGCGCAGCGCGTAACCTAGCCGTCTGCGCCGACGGCCGCGTGGCATACCGGCACCGCCGCGATACCGACTGGCAGCTGGGCGCCCACGTGGCCCAACTGCGGCGCCAGCTGCGCTCCTGGCGGCTCGTCTACTGGCGTCTGTGGGCGGCCGTGAACTTCCTCTGGTGCGCCCGCTGTGAGGCGCCGTTCGCCGCCGCCTACCTGGCCGGCTGTCGGTTCCACCCGGAGCCGGCGCGTTACGGCACGCTCGGCCGGTCGGCGTCCACCCCTCTCGGCCACCACCCGTGCTGCGGGGGTACGGCCGTCCAGTTCGACCCACTCCGGCTGCGCGGGAGTGCTGGGTGCCTCCTCCGCGACCACCTGGTGCAGCCGGCGCCGGACGCCGCGCTGCGAGCTGATGATGGTGTGTATGAGGATCTGCTGGAGCACCGCTCGCTGGCTGTCGAACCGCCGCCGGCTGCCGGGGCTGAGGGGGCGGTGGAGGGAGGAGGAGACGCCGCCCCGCTGCGCGCTCAGACTGAGCTGCAACTGGTGCCGTCTGGGGTCAGCGGCGGTGGCGACTGCGGCCTGCTGCCTGCCACGCTGCGGCCCAGGGAGGGCGAGGCTGCCGCCGCAGCTACACCACAGCGCTCCATATCGCTGGACTCGGCCGACTTCACCGCTTCAGATGACGAGGAAGAGGGTGCTCCTCCGCCGGAACCGGCGGCCGGGGCGGGGGCGGGGGCGGCGCGGCCGCGAACCGCCCAGCTGTGGCGGCGGCGCGGCGGCGAGCGGCCAGAGCCAGCGCGCCGCCGCCGCCCGCCGTCTGGACCCCGGCCGCCTCGACTCGTCACAACCAGGACGCCCAGCGACACCGTGAGACCGGCGAGCTGCGGCGGCTGGCCGACCAGCTCAGCGGCAGGCAGGCCGGCTGGCGCGCGCGGCGCGGACTCGCCGCTGCCGGGTCGTTCCTGGTGATAGAGCGCGAGCTGCGGGCCTCGGCAGAGCCGCCGGCGTCCGACGGCCGACACCGGAGAGGAGGAGGAGGAAATAGTGCGGGTACCTGTCCGCAGGTCAGAGGTAGCTAGAGTCGGGAGATCTTCGAAAAGTCACGACCCAGTCAGGTGCACCATTCAATATGAGCTCGCTTGTAGCGAGATAATAGGTATGGGCGCCTGTCTCGTTGCACTCAATGCGCAGTACGGATTAAATACACCAATAACGCACAACCTGTTCGCAGATTACCTAATTAACGGTAGAAACGATTGACAAACAAACTGATCAATAACAAAGACCATATATTAAAAATGTAAGATAACTAGGCTTCATAATATCGACTATGTAGAAAACAAATGCACCTGACAAGCTGAGATAATATGCACATAGACAGCACGACACTTGGCATGCTTCACAGCTCAACAAACCATTTCATATGGCAGCACCACTTCAGCTATGCACTTTTAGCGGTCAGAGCTGCCCGAACAGCACATCATCGTCATCATTAAACATGGCGTCGATCTCGGCCGCAGAAATGGTATCCGGTTTGTGTTTGGCGGCCGCTGGGGGCGGCGGCGCGGCGGGGGCGGGGGCGGGGGCGGCCGGTCTGGAGAACAGCCGGAGAGCGGGGGAGGCTGCCGCCGCCGCCCGGGGTGGGTGTCCCGACCCGGAGGTCAGGGGAGAGGTCGCGGTAGGTCGACTGGCGGCCGGCGCTGAGCGCAGGGCGGGGGACGCCGAGTTTGCACCTCCACTACTGCCACCACCGGTTCGCTGTGGGGTGGAATAGGGCGCTGGTCGGCCTCTGGAGGAACCCCCGCCACCTCTGCCGCGCCATGAGCGGCCACCGCGGCCCCGCCAGCCGCGGCCGCCGCCGCTGCCGCCGCCGGACAGCTGAGGGGTCGGGTACAGCTGCGGCCGAGGCGGGGACGGCGGAGGAGACTCCTGGAGTACGGCCACCTCTGGCGGCTCCTCCACGAGCCGAGCGGACGCCAGCTCGGCCTCACTGAGCTCGGAACTGACGGCAGAGGGCGAAGGACTGTTACCGACCACGTCAACTTGGTGGGAATGGGTTTACGAGTACACATATTGGAACAAGACACAAATCGCTGAGGAAATCTGCCCGATAGCAGCTGATAAACAAAAAGCATCTATATCAGAAACCAAAACGAAATATAATCTAATTAACATATCCAACTTTCACCAGCCAAAAGTAAACGGTAACCGTTTCAAAGTAAAGCTCATATGTCACAGGCTCCTGAATCTATAATTCCACTGCGTATTCCGTACCGACACCCCTGCCTCCCTACCACCTACCCGGACGACGGGCGCGGGCTCGGCCCCGGCCGGCGTCTCCGGTGCGAGGTAGACCAGACTGCGACGGGTCACACTCAGATAGAGCCGCCGCGCCGACTCCCGCCACACGACCACGTCACGAAGCAGTAGTGCGCAGCCCGGCCGCAGCGCGGCGCCACCGTGCTCAAACGCGTCCTTGGCTACGGTTCCCTCCATTTGACCTGCCGGGTAGGCGAGGACGGATACAGTCATCACCCGTACTTCTGACTGCATGCTAAGATCTAGCAGTGATCTTCAAATACGGGCAGGGTCTCAGAAAAACACGCCCCAAATGCAGAAGTGTTACCATTTGTCGAATTCAGCGATCTATGACGATGAGCAGCTGTTCCATTTTTGAAAATATGTTGTCACTTGCCGAGTGTTCCATTTCTATGCACATAAGATAGCATCCTCTCTAGATCTGTTCAAGTAACTACAGACGCTTCTCGATACAAACAGCTCTCGATGTTTGTAAATAGATTCACAAGGATGCCCTAATTGCCTGAATAAGCATTCTCCCCGGCGATCCAAATCACCAGCTACCGACGTTCTCCCTTCAACCGGCCGGTCCAATAGTCGCCCCCCCCCCCCACACACACACACTAACCAGTGGGGTCGCGGAAGGTGGCCTGGTAGCTGAGGTCCGAGGTGGGCTCCAGGCTGTGCAGCACGGCCGCCAGTAGGGGCACCTTGCGCAGCTGGTTAGCGGCCGCCGCGCGGCGCACCGCGCCCAGGTTAATGCGGCGCGGCAGGCCGTCGGCGTCGGCCGGCGAGAGTCGCAGCTCGGCCAGTAGTCGGCGCCACGGCCCGGCCTCCCAGGCGGCAGTGTCCTCCGGCTGCGAGAGCTGACTCTGAGCGGAGGACGTGGAGAGCGGTGAGCGTCGGCGAGTTGTGAGATAGGGTAAAGACGCCGCAGTGTAGGATAACAAAGGTTATGCAGGAAAGCGTACTAAAAATGCGAAACAAAAGGCTGATCATTGAACGCATTTGGGCTTATCGTCCTTACTTCACATTAACGGTAGAAGCTCAAGTCGGACCTTATTGATCGTGGCTGGTGTTATTTCCACCAGTGGAATAGCGAACGACACATGCAACTTCGTACACAACGTTTTCCTCAACAACGGGCAATATAACATGCATACTGCATAGTGCATACGTAATTAAAGCTAAACCACACACCAATACAAAAATGTCCGAGTCTGCCAGTCTCTCACGAGTTCACCAAAGTGACTACAGACGGCCTCGCACCCGCTCACCTCCGAGACCGGGTCATGCAGGGTGGGGTCATCGTCCTCCCCAGCGGCGATCGGGTCATCGTCCTGGAGACTGACCTCGTGCGCCAGTGTCAGCAGAGAGCCCTGTAACAACCGCCACAGCTGGTCAATACTGACACCGTATTATGGTCAGCAGGGAGCCCTGTAACGATTACAGGTCAGGTATAGCACCTCATGGGATCAGCAGGGAGCCCTGAAACGATTACAGGTTAGTTACAGTGCCACAGTGGAATCACCAGGGACTCGGCCTATAGCAACACAACAGGTCAATAATGGCTCACAGAGGTCACAGACAACGGACACAAGAGGTCAGTCGTTGTTCGCGAGCAGGCCGGGTGCTGCCACCGCGGCAACCGTGACCAAAGCCATGAACGAGAAATTACATTCACTAAAACGCAGTTCACACTTGCCCGTAAGGTCTGCCGGTGACGGGCCCGACACCGTCAAAACGGCCGAAACTGACGGAGCGACGGCCGTCAGGTCGACGGGCATGTGTGAACCGGCGGCGTTCGACGGCCGGCAACAGCTGACTGCGCCGGCGCCGGACCTGACGGCCGTCGCTTTGGAAAGTTCAGCAATGTTCAACTTTTGACGGTGACGGGCCCGTCGGTTTGAATGTCTGCGTGTTGGAGGAAGAGGAAAAGGAACGTTATCATGCAGCATGAAGCTTATATGCATTTTTAGGATCATTTATACCATTTTCCATCCATTTGTTGAGATGAAAGTATTTATTACGGCACGATATCTTGAGATTCGATCCCTGATTTAAATCAACGAACCGATTTGTCTTTCATTTAAATAAAGTTGCAGCATTATTTGACATAAAAATGTAAATGCGTGGTAATTTATTTCTGTAATTCAAATAATATTTTAACCTCTCGGCCTCTACCCCCTCCCCCATCCCCTTCCCCCATCTGCGTCAATCTCGAAAATGGTGCGCCATTTCTGTCACAGTATATGGCAGCCAATGGGAGCTACCAAATCTCAACTTTCGTTTGACGGGCTGCAGGCCGTCAGGTCGACGGTGACGGGCCCGACACCGACAGACTGACGGTCATGTGTGAACTGCGTTTAACAGTAACTGTCACGGATCCAAAGAGCTGCAGCAGTTGCTAATCTGAAATGTAATTCCAGAGCTGTGATAACACTAGAAACTATTTTTACATCATCTGCTTTCATTTCCAGGGAGCCACAGAATGTGTCTAAATGTGACAATAACATATGAGCTGGCCATTTGAGCGAATTCGTTTCGCAAGAAATAAAACGATAAAATTTATAGGCGCACCGGAAACATATGATCTGAGCTGTAATTTCACGGATAATTCACATCAGTCTAAGCCAGATAAGCAGAAGCTACGATCTTCATATGCAATTCTCCAACAAGAATGGGGGCGAAATTGCCCTGCGAAAAAAGCAATTGGAATGGGTTAACTATATTTTAACCAAAGAAACCACTTTAACGCTATAATCTACAATCTACTGTGGTGGGTACTGGATAGAATATGCCGGCCAATTGAGTCGACGCCAGCGCAGTCACACCTACCGTCATGGGTAGAATGCCGGCCGGTCCGGGGAAGCGTCTCTTCACTGCCGAGCCCGTCGAGCGCCGCCCACCGGAGCGTGGCACGCCAGACGACCGGCGAGAACCCGCCGGCATGTCACGTGACTCCCGGTCAGGGAGCGTCATGCCGGCCAGAGGTGAGTCACGTGCTCCGTTTCCAGGGAACGCCGACCCAGCGACCGGTGAGTCACCTGATCTCAGGTCAGCTAGTGGACACCGACTGGCTGGTGGGTCACGCGGCGGCGTTTTAGCACCGTTCCGCTTATCTTCCGTGTCACGTGGTGCCTCCCCTATGTCGTCCAGCATGTCACGTGGGCCAGTGGCGGCGCCGCTGGGCAGATCACGTGACTGAGAGCTGACGGCGCCGACGGTCGGGAGGTGGGCGGCCGCAGGAGCCGCCTCGGCCGCCTCACAGGCGTCTAGCAGGTCCGCATCCATTAGATCATCGTCGTCGGCGAACATATCTGCAGTGGACATCTCGGGCGAGGCCGGCGCCGCGGCGGGGCGGCAGCGGCGGGGGCGGCGGCGGGAGCAGGCCAGGAGGGGAAGGTCGCCGCGCCGGGCCGCAGCCCGAACATCTGGCTGACGCTGACCGAGTCAGGGGTGCAGCTGAAGCCTCCCAGTCCCGGGTCGTCAGGGCGGTCCGGACGGCCGGCGCCGGGAGCCGCCCAGCCGCCGCGCCGCTCGCTGCTGCTGGGGAGGGGTGAGATGGCATCCGACTTGGAGGCAGGACCTCGTCCAGGAAACCCTGCAAGGTCAGCAAAAGAGGCATTGGCAAAACAGCAGCGAACAAAATAGGGGGAGTATCTGTTTTCACACAAGCAACCCTTTAACTCCCTTTAAATATTTTTTGTCTATAATCACACCATTTACCAACTGCAGTCTGCAAATGTCAATAATAGAAACACCTAACCTCAGCAAAATCAAAATCTTCATCTTCAAAGTTCATTTTCTTGAATTGATGCTCTTCTCAGACAAGATGCTGTGCAATTGAACTACAAATATCTGGAAACAAAATGCAATCATCAGGAAAACAAAGAAAAGGACAGAGATGGTCTGCCTTTGGTGGGAGCAGTGATGGTTCATTGTAATCTGAACCAGTTGTTTTAGCAGAGTTGAGTTGAACAAAATATGGTTCTGATTCACATTAAGGCTAAGCACATCATGCTTTGCCATCCAAGCATCAAAATTTGAATCCTGCCAAAATGCAAATATGCCTGCAAATACCATAGGTAGGTAGCCGGTAGGTAGCTCAAAAGAGACCCTGCGTTCGATGTCTCTCGGACGACGAAGATTCTACACCGTCCGTCCAATAACATTCCATAACCACAGCCGAGCCCCCACAGACCTTGAACGTGATTGGCCGGACAACGTAATATCTTCGTCGTCCTAGACATCGAACGCGGGGAGTGTCTAGTCTAGAGTGCTGTCTAGTATTAACAAATTAACAATAAAAAAATAACATTTTCTGTGCATGTCACGTTCTCAATTCAACCCAAGTATCAAAACAATCCAAAAAATTATTACAAATGATTAATGGAATCCATCCCAGCTGGCAAATAATAAAATAGCGTGGCCCTCGTGATGGCTTAACACAAACTTGCGCACCAGCAGGCAGTGGGCTTCAGTTTAGTGATCCATGCCATGAAAATACAAAACTTGAGAAAAATAGCATTTTTTTGTAAGTTCCAAGTGACAAGCTGTGTGCGTTAACCAATAATGTACTATATTTTTAATTGTTCGGTGGAAAACCTTGCAACACGTGCCGAGAATCAAATGTTGGCGCGCATAATCTCAATATACCCTGCGCATAATAAACAACTGCGCTCTCGATCAGCTGGGCTCTGGTATTAACTGGATAATTCGCCAGCTGACGCCGTATGGTGGCGCTAGTGGAGCAGCACCATATGACGTCAGCAGAAAACACACCGTGAGCAGCTATGAAATGGGAGCGAGCAGCACGGAAATATCGAAAGGCGATGGACATGTACTGACTTTTGTCATTCAAGTACCACCAACAGCATACAAAAACCATATAATATCATCAAGACTGGTTCTGGAATCGATTCGTTCAGGTATTTAAAACACATACAAAATGCTTGTTACCAAATTCTGAAACAGTATAAGGATATTCTTGTTCCTTACTTTTACCTTGTGGAGTACTTTTACAATACCTTTTACTTGCTTTCTAGTATGCCCATCACTATCTGAGAATCTGGATTGCAACGCTGTAGGAAAACTTTTTTTTCATTTGTCATTTCTTCCACTTTTGAGCAGTGATAATTTATTTGGTTTTATACATTAAATAATGAAGACGGCTCCTAACTTTTAAGGGTTCTGCAGTGGCTCAGAGAGCAAATCAGATGTTTCCTAGAAACTTGAGGCCACTATTTTCTTATATGCTAGATAATACAAACATAGACATGTAAATAATGATACGGGTGTATAATTCTGCAGAGATATTAATTCAAAGTATTTAGCATCTTTCAAGAACCTTTCTAAAATATTCCATAATGACTTCTTTCAATACAAGGTGGAAGCAATTTCAGTTAACAATAAAGCAGCACAAGACAGTACCTTGAGCTACGATGATCCATAACCAATCGGCACCTGCAATTTGATCTTCGAGATGTACCCTGCCTCTGTAGTCTGTTCCCTGACTTTCCCTTTTCGTTGTGCCGGGTGAAGTGAATATTCTGTGAATATTCTTCTGACAGTCAGTTTTTAGTCCTACATTATGTTGTCAATCAGATTTAATTGGTTCAAAAACCGTCGTAGTCCGTCTCATTCGCAGTCTACATCTCTACATGCGCACCCATACATGCTCAAAATTTTCACTACGTATGTACTACGTACCCTGCAGCGTACCCTGATGAAAAATGTTTTGTTGAAATCAGAGACACTTCCCAAGGTAGGCCATCGTCCATGGCCATGTATTTAAGTCAAAACAGATGAAACAGATAAACACAATTCCAATCATCAAGTCAACCAGCATCGACAATCTGCACATAAGTTCTAAACCTATTGCAAGACTACTTTGTATTCAAGCTTTGTATTGCAGAAGGGTGAAAGCTGCATGGAATTATGCGACAATTTCAGCGTGCATCCACGCTCGAAAGAGCAGGGTTAATTGTAACAATCCATAATAATAACGTAATTGTAGGTGTTGTGATTCGGTTGTCTCTTGTCTGTGCTGGCCATTGCGCGGGCGGTCCAGCGGCGGAACTCGGCTTCGCCGCCGTGGCGCGCTGGCAGTTGCTCCAGGTGGCGCTCGGCACACCTCGCCAGATGGCGAGCCGGTCTCGAGGTCGCGGGTTGCAGACACTGTCAAGGCGGCGGTTCACGGCCCCGAGCTGCAGGGCGCTGCGCTGCCATGCACTGCTGCATTGGTGTGGCGTTTGAGAGGAATTCGTCTCGACGTTCCAGCGTTGCGAATGTGCGAGTTTGTTGATGTTTCCATGGAGACCCAATACACCGCTGCGCGCAGCGCGCTGCAGCACAGTGCCGTGAAACACCGTCCATGTCGCCACGGTCGGCCGCTGGCGCAAGATGTCATCTGACAGCCGGCGAGGAACGACCTGAGGAGTGAGCCGTAGCTGCTTATGACGGACCACACAGAAGAACGCCTCACACTCCCGACAGGACAGTCCCCTGAAGTTCCTCATCGCCGGGCTGAGGGAGGGACGACTCGTAGTGTCTCAGTCAGGCAGAAGGTATTCCTGCATGCGGGCCGGATGCACCGAGCTTAGGGCCAGAGTCTCCAGTGGCTCCCCTGACCCCTAGCTGGTTTATGAAGTCCAGTTCGGCCACGGTGACTGGAAACAGGTCTGGAGGGACTTGTGGGCGGCCCCCAGGGCCGCAACGTCGCTGCTCGGCACTTCCTCCATGCTGGGGTTGATGGATTCCAGAATCCAGCAGGCAATGCCGAGTGCCCATCAGGAACGAGCAGCACAGGAGATATGCTACGGGGTGTCCTCCTCCCAACAGACGGGCAGAATGCAGCTCCGCAGTGATGATCAACACACTGATTGCACCCGGCTAGCCGAGAGGGCGCTTGCCTGACTGTAGCGCTACTGGGTAGAGCCGGTCCAGTTGCTGGCTGATAGCTGGTGACATTCACAGTCGCTGATTGGTTGCCGCAAGTGGGAGTCTGCCACTTGTCAGCAGTCAGAACCAACTGGCTGGCCAGGCCTGGATGGTGCAGGCACTTGTTGCTGTTGGCAGCTTGGTGGCTTACTGTAGTCATAAAGACTTGTACTTGGATGAGGTTACTCCCTTCCTTGGCAACAGAGTCCATTCTCCTGTTTCCCTCCAGGCCACAGGGTGAGGGTAAGCTGGAGCACGCAGCAAGCTAGGAGTGCACTCCGAACCTGTACACAATAGAATTGCA